TCCTCTCCTGCCTTCTAGTCCTTGTCCCTGGACTGCTGTGCCTCATTAGTCATGTTTTGTTTTATGAGGATGTCCAATTCCCAGCTGAATGGTGAACTTCGGGAGGGGCTTCACCACTGAGCTAAAAGGGTGTTCAGGGGCCATACTCTCGGGGTTTCTCCAGTCTCTGTCAGGCCAGTAAGTCTGGTCTTTTTTGTGAGTTAGAATTCTGTTCTACATCCTTTTCCAGCTCTGTTCAGGACCCTCTATTGTGGTCCTGGTCAGAGCAGTCAGTAGTGGTAGCCGGGCACCATCCAGCTCTACTGGACTCAGTCTGGTGGAGGCTGTAGTAGCTGTGGTCCATTAGTCCTTTGGACTAATCTTTTCCTTATATCTTGTTCTCTTCATTCTCCCTTACTCCGGAAGGGGTGAGACCAGTGGAGTATCTTAGATGGCTGCTCACAGGCTTTTAAGACCCCAGATGCTACTCACCAAGTTAGACTGTAGGACATTGTCTTTATAAAGTGTGTTATGCCAATTGAGCTAGATGTTCCCTGAGACCATGGTCCCCACAGCCCTCTGCCCAGCAATTCAGTCCTTCAGGGAGTTTGGAAGTGTCTCTGGAGCTTCCATGGTCTTCCCTTGTACAAGTTGTTCTGGCTTCCCCAGTAATGTGTACTGTCTTACCCTTCACCAAAGTTACCACTTATCTGTTTAGTTTCCCCCTACTCCTCCCATCCCTTGTAACCAACAAAGATTGTTTCCTTTTGTGTGTAAACTTTTACATGAGTTATACAGTAGAGGTCTCATACAATATTTGTCCTTTTGTGATTGACTTATTTCACTCAGCATAATGTCCTCCAGTTTTGTTCTTCTTACCCTCCTGTGCTGAGGCTGTTCTTTTTTTTTTTTTTCTTTTTTGTGGATTTTCTTTCATTTATTTTGTTTTTGTAGGTTTTGTTTTTACTGAGACTTTATGTTTTTCTTCAATATTTTAATGAGTAGATTTGTTAACTTTCTTTGTGGTTACCCTGAAATTTACCCTTATCTTCCTAGATTTGTACGAGTCTATTATTACTTGGTATCGCTTGACTTCGTCTCCATTAGAAGGTTCTATATCTACACCGTTTATTCCCTCTTTTATTGTTCTGATGCTGTTGTCATTTACAAATCAACCTCTCTGGTTCCCTTTTGTAATTCTTTTGGTTTTACTTAGTCCTTAAGAGTTCATTTCCTAGGTTAGTATCTGGCTGGTACAATCCTGTGCCCTGTATTCAGCCTGTGGTCTGATATTGTTTGTTCTCAGATCGAAGGACTTCCTTTAATAAGTCTTGTAAGTTCGGTTTTGTTTTTACATAGTCCCTTAATTTCTGTTTATCTGGAAATGACCTAATTTCACCATCATAGTTGAATGAGAGTTTT